GTATTAAAACAACTCTGTACCAAGTATCATAACATCTCTGTACAAAGTGTTATAACATCTCTGTACAAAGTGTTATAACATCTCTGTACAAAGTGTTATAACATCTCTGTACAAAGTATTATGACATCTCTGTACCAAGTAGTAACACAACTCTGAACCCAGTATTATAACATCTCTGTACCAAGTATCATAACAACTATGTACCAAGTGTTTAAACAACTCTGTACCAAGTATCATAACATCTCTGTACAAAGTATTATAACATCTCTGTACAAAGTATTATAACATCTCTGTACCAAGTATTATAACATCTCTGAACCAAGTATTATAACATCTCTGTACCAAGTGTTATAACACTTCTGTACCAAGTATTATAACATCTCTGTACAAAGTATTATAACATCTCTGTAACAAGTGTTATAACCTCTCTGAACCAAGTATTATAACATCTCTGTATCAAGTATTATAACATCTCTGTACAAAGTATTATAACATTTCTGTACCAAGGATTATAACATCTCTGTACCAAGTATTATATCATCTCTGTACCAAGTATTATAACATCTCTGAACCAAGTATTATAACATCTCTGTACCAAGTGTTATAACTCTTCTGTACCAAGTATTATAACATCTCTGTACAAAGTATTATAACATCTCTGTACCAAGTATTATAACATCTCTATACCAAGTATAATAACATATCTATACGAAGTATAATAACATCTCTGTACAAAGTGTTATAACATCTCTGTACAAAGTATTATAACATTTCTGTACCAAGGATTATAACATCTCTGTACCAAGTATTATAGCATCTCTGTACCAAGTATTATAACATCTCTGTGTCAAGTATTATAACATCTCTGTACCAAGGATTATAACATCTCTGTACCAAGTATCATAACATCTCTGTACCAAGTATCACAACATCTCTGTAACAAGTATTATAACATCTCTGTACCAAGTATTAAAACACCTCTGTACCAAGTATTAAAACAACTATTTACCAAGTATTAAAACAACTCTGTACCAAGTATTAAAACAACTCTGTACCAAGTATTAAAACATCTCTGTACCAAGTATCATAACATCTCTGTACCAAGTATCACAACATCTCTGTAACAAGTATTATAACATCTCTGTAACAAGTATTATAACATCTCTGTAACAAGTATTATAACATCTCTGTAACAAGTATTATAACATCTCTGTAACAAGTATTATAACATCTCTGTAACAAGTATTATAACATCTCTGTACCAAGAATTATAACATCTCTGTACCAAGTATTATAACATCTCTGTATCAAGTATTATAACATCTCTGTACCAAGTATTATAACATTTCTGTACCAAGGGTTATAACATCTCTGTACCAAGTATAATAGCATCTCTGTACCAAGAATTATAACATCTCTGTATCAAGTATTATAACATCTCTGTATCAAGTATTATAACATCTCTGTACCAAGTACTATAACAGTTCCGTACAAAGTATTATAACATCTCTGTACCAAGTATTATAACATCTCTGTACCAAGTATTATAACAGTTCTGTACGACGGATTACAACATCTCTGTACCAAGTATTAAAACAGTTCTGTACCAAGTAGTTTAACATCTTTGTACCAAGTATTATAACATCACTGTACTAAATGTTATAACATATCTGTAACAAGTATCATAACAGTTCTGTACAAAGTATTAAAACATCTCTGTACCAAGTATTTAATTCATCTGTATGAGGTTCAGTCGACATCTGCGCGTACTACGTCTACTACATGAGGTAGAATCTCAGTTCCAGCCCTCCCTACACGTCTCCTGTGGTAGAATCTCTGTTCCAGCCCTCCCCACACGTCTACTACATGAGGTATTATATCAGTTCCAGCCCTCCCTACACGTCTACTACATGAGGTATAATCTCAGTTCCAGCCCTCCCTACACGTCTACTACATGGGGTAGAATCTCAGTTCCAGCCCTCCCTACACGTCTCCTGTGGTAGAATCTCTGTTCCAGCCCTCCCTACACGTCTACTACATGAGGTAGATTCTCAGTTCCAGACCCCCCTACACGTCTACTACATGAGGTAGAATCTCTGTTCCAGACCTCCCTACACGTCTACTACATGGGGTAGATTCTCAGTTCCAGACCCCCCTACACGTCTACTACATGGGGTATAATCTCAGTTCCAGCCCTCCCTACATGTCTCCTGTGGTAGAATCTCAGTTCCAGCCCTCCCTACACGTCTACTACATGGGGTAGAATCTCAGTTCCAGACCCCCCTACACGTCTACTACATGTGGTAGAATCTCAGTTCGAAACCTCCCTACACGTCTCCTGTGGTAGAATCTCAGTTCCAGCCCTCCCTACATGTCTCCTGTGGTCGAATCTCTGTTCCAGCCCTCCCGACACGTCTACTATATGGGGTAGAATCTCTGTTCCAGCCCTCCCTACACGTCTACTACATGGGGTAGAATCTCAGTTCCAGACCTCCCTACACGTCTACTACATGAGGTATAATCTCAGTTCCAGCCCTCCCCACACGTCTACTACATGAGGTAGAATCTCAGTTCCAGTCCTCCCAATACGTCTCCTGTATGTCGCAAACATCTCTGTACCTAGTATTATAACATAAGGTAGAATCTCAGTTCCAGCCCTCCCTACACGTCTCCTGTGGGAGAATCTCAGTTCCAGCCCTCCCTACACGTCTCCTGTGGGAGAATCTCAGTTCCAGCCCTCCCTACACGTCTCCTGTGGTAGAATCTCAGTTCCAGCCCTCCCTACATGTCTACTACATGGGGTAGAATCTCAGTTCCAGCCCTCCCCACATGTCTACTACATAAGGTAGAATCTCTGTTCCAGCCCTCCCTACACGTCTACTACATGGGGCAGAATCTCAGTTCCAGCCCTCCCTACACGTCTCCTGTGGGAGAATCTCAGTTCCAGCCCTCCCTACACGTCTCCTGAGGTAGAATCTCAGTTCCAGCCCTCCCCACACGTCTACTACATGAGGTAGAATCTTAGTTCCAGCCCTCCCTACACGTCTACTACATGGGGTATAATCTCAGTTCCAGCCCTCCCTACACGTCTACTACATGAGGTAGAATCTCAGTTCCAGCCCTCCCCACACGTCTACTACATGGGGTAGATTCTCAGTTCCATCCCTCCCTACACGTCTACTACATGGGGTAGAATCTCAGTTCCAGCACTCCCTACATGTCTCCTGTGTTAGATTCTCAGTTCCATCCCTCCCTACACGTCTACTACATGGGGTAGAATCTCAGTTCCAGCCCTCCCCACACGTCTCCTGTATGTCTCAAACATCTCTATACAAATACTTCAAACATCTCGGTTGGGTTTGTTTGTGTTGTACGTCCTATTAAAAGATATGGTCATTTAAGGACATGCCAGGTTTTGGTGGTGGAGGAAAGCCGGAGTACCCGAAGAAAAACCACCGACCTACGGGAAGTACCTGGAGACTGCCCCCAGTAGGTCTGGAACCCGCGACCCATTGGTGGAGGACTAGTGGTAGCAGATCTAGGATGTCAGACGCCTTTACCACTTGGCCACCGAGGCCCTTCAAACATCTTGGTACCAAGTCTCTCAACTTTTGTGCTTCTCGTCCCCCATCACCTCTATATCGGTTACCGCTCCATGTCTCCTAACATCACCGCGCCTCCCATCACCTCTAAACCGGTTACCGCTCCATGTCTCCTAACATCACCGCGCCTCCCGTCACCTCTATATCGGTTACCGCTCCATGTCTCCTAGCAATCGGTTACCGCTCCATGTCTCCTAACATCACCGAGCCACCCATCACCTCTATATCGGTTACCGCTCCATGTCTCCTAACATCACAGCGCCACCCATCACCTCTATATCGGTTACCGCTCCATGACTCCTAACATCACCGCGCCACCCATCACTTCTATATCGGTTACCGCTCCATGTCTCCTAACATCACAGCGCCACCCATCACCTCTATATCGGTTACCGCTCCATGTCTCCTAACAATCGGTTACCGCTCCATGACTCCTAACATCACCGCGCCTCCCATCACCTCTATATCGGTTACCGCTCCATGACTCCTAACAATCGGTTACCGCTCCATGACTCCTAACATCACCGCGCCTCCCAACACCTCTATACCGGTTACCGCTCCATGTCTCCTAACATCACCGCGCCTCCCATCACCTCTAAACTGGTTACCGCTCCATGTCTCCTAACATCACCGCGCCTCCCGTCACCTCTATATCGGTTACCGCCCCATGTCTCCTAGCAATCGGTTACCGCTCCATGTCTCCTAACATCACCGCGCCTCCCAACACCTCTTTACCGGTTACCGCTCCATGTCTCCTAACATCACGGCGCATCCCAACCTCTCGCTATACGTGATGTCAGACTCCTCACATAATAACAAATAATATATTTCGATAATTCCGTTTGAAAATATCTCACCCACCGTAAGTTCAGTAAAGAAATGTAAGAACTGCTCATTGTAATACACTGAATCCCCCATGTCAATAATAAGAAAACTACAGTATGATTACGTCACATTGATGTAACGCCCACGGCAATGACACACAACAGACTGTCAGCAGTCGGCGGTAAAAACCTACTATGTAATTGTCACTGATAATTGATCAGTACGTATGTGAAGACTGAAACGAGTCATGAAATTTAATAATATCATTAAATTCGACACTTTTTATCGGCGTGTCGTCCAGACGTGATTATGAGTGGTAAGATAGAAAGAACTTTAAACAATGTGAAGCGTACGACCATCCTACGTTACGTCACATTGTCACTGACACGCGGCGACGGTACAGCGTGACCTGGCTACACTGAAGTCTTGACCTCCGGAGCAGATCGTAGTAGCGACCTTTATAATGAACAGTGCTGATCAGATCCACGTAACGTCCTTGACAGCTCGTGACGTTCGCTAGACACGTTACTTTACCTCGACTTGGAGGTCTCGGCACACACTTTGGTCAGAACCGTTGTTGAGACAACTAATTGGAGCAGCTGTGTTTTAGAGAGTTCTTATCTGGAAGACTGATAATTTTCGAGATGGAGTTTGCTTTACTTGCGATGTTAATTCTCGGAGTTCTACAGCAGTCGATGGCCTGTACATACACGCCCGCCCGACAAGAGGTCACAGGTAGGATGACGTCTTCTTAGATTGAATCATAGAAGTTGTTTTTCGTATTAATTAAGCTCAAATACACTTTCTTAATTTTGTACAAAGGCATATGTTTTTACCGATTTACAATAGTTTTTTCCTTAATCATAATAATATATAATGTTCGGAAGATTAGTGTTCCATTAGCTAGAACGATTGACCAATGAAACCGCCATATCGTAATTAAAGCACACTTCATGGCCATACTCATAATTATTTATAATTAATCGTAAAGCTTAACGATCCGCCGCATATCATTTTATAAAGTTCTAGCTCCAACTCCGTAATATCTCTTATATATTTATTTACAAAAAGCCCGCATTGACACTCTATATATTTTATTCAATATGGCAGTGACAAAATAATACAAAAATCAACAAAGAGGATTCGAAAACAAGTATATAAGTACTTATATCAATTCGGCTCCTTATTAATAAACCTGGCAGTAGGACGGAGAGAATAACAAAAATAACTGCATTACTTGGTTGAATCTTGTTGAAATGTGATTCATGAAAAGGTAACCCTAATGAGCTCTATATAAGGATGCATTAAATACATTTGAAATCTCTAAATTACATAGCAATTGCCTTACGTTGATTCCAATCAAAAAAGTATACTGATATCCTGTAAAATACAAGAGTGTTGTACATGTAGTTGATATTAATTTTAATTTCAGTATCAACAAACCTCATTAAGTCTAAATATCATACTGACGTGTCACAAGTTTTGTCGAACAACATAGGTTTCAAAGTTAATGAACATTGTTTAAACAAACGCAATAATTAAATAAAAAAATGAAATAAAATAAATAAATCTTGCACTAAAATCGTTTCGACTTGCAGATAAATTGTTGGACAGAGTCAAAAACATTTAAGTTATATGGATATGGCATATCAGGATTTCCATACAGCAGCAGATTTAAATTATTCCCAGGAGGAAGATTTCTAAAACATTGTAATCTTAATTGTTCGAAGTTAGGACAAAAGAGGAGAAAGTAGTTTCAGCAGAACGGTTATATTTACATTTATCTATCAGTCGCGTCGGCTTTCATGTTACATATTTATCTTCAAGCCGCCTTGCTGTTCAAAGATTCATTATTTATCTTACAGTCGCATATATTCATCATTTATTCATTATTTATCTTACAATCGCGTCGCTGCTCATGTATTTATATTTACCTTACAGCCGCGTCTCTGCATATATTTATATTTATCTTACAGTCATGTCGACGCTCATGTATTTATATCTATCATAAATCTGCGTCCTGAAAAGCCCACATTGCGACGGATAAATTCTATTTAACATACATGTAATTCTGCAGCGCCGTCGGTTATCTGTTAACGTGCAGTCCACGTCGCCGTTGTGTAATATTAGGTTTTGATCCTCAGTCGCCGTTGTGTAATATTAGGTTTTGATCCTCAGTCGCCGTTGTGTAATATTAGGTTTTGATCCTCAGTCGCCGTTGTGTAATATTAGGTTTTGATCCTCAGTCGCCGTTGTGTAATATTAGGTTTTGATCCTCAGTCGCCGTTGTGTAATATTAGGTTTTGATCCTCAGTCGCCGCTGTGTAATATTAGGTTTTGATCCTCAGTCGCCGCTGTGTAATATTAGGTTTTGATCCTCAGTCGCCGTTGTGTAATATTAGGTTTTGATCCTCAGTCGCCGTTGTGTAATATTAGGTTTTGATCCTCAGTCGCCGCTGTGTAATATTAGGTTTTGATCCTCAGTCGCCGCTGTGTAATAATAGGTTTTGATCCTCAGTCGCCGTTGTTTAATATTAGGTTTTGATCCTCAGTCGCCGTTGTGCAATATTAGGTTTTGATCCTCAGTCGCCGTTGTTTAATATTAGGTTTTGATCCTCAGTCGCCGCTGTGTAATAATAGGTTTTGATCCTCAGTCGCCGTTGTATAATGTTAGGTTTTGATCCTCAGTCGCCGCTGTGTAACATTAGGTTTTGATCCTCAGTCGCCGCTGTGTAACATTAGGTTTTGATCCTCAGTCGCCGCTGTATATCTATGTTCCAATTAAACCAACTTCGTCACAACAAGAGTTAATCCGAGTGTTCATGGAAATTAATTACTTTTTTCAAATTGAAGTCAACATATTTCTTGAAGCTCATGTGCATTCGTGATGTGTGATGGTTGGTTGGTTAAGAATCGTTCGTTTCGTAAAACACCTCAATCTATGGCGACAGTGTACCTTAGCCATTAGTCTCCTTAGATACCTATTTTTCCTTTATCGCACCTACACAAGGATATATGATTATTTTATGGTACATACACAAAGTCTTATTATTATTTTATTGTGCATTAACGAGGTCTTAATATTGTCTTATTGAATCTATACAAGGTCCTATTATTCTTTTATTACATGTATATCGGTATGCAGATAACACTATCCACATTTGGCTTACACAACTTGGTATGCTATATAAAGCGGGGTTTCAGCTATTAGTACCTAAACTAAGATGTAATTCAGAGCAATTTTACACGTTTTAGGTTTTTTTATCAACTTTCTATAAAACCAAAAAGCGACCCCCAATGATGATTATATACGAGAAGGGAGTTTTCAATGTCGAAAAGTCGACCCCGTCAAACTTTCTTATATCAAAAACTGAAACCCGTGGTGTGATTGGCTGGAAGCGCAGTCATTTCCCCCCAAAAAAACCCAGCTAGTCAACACTGAATGTTTCGGCACGTGGCTGACATCAACCTCATTAATAACCAAAAATGGCTCCATAACTGCGCAAAACTTTGAATCTCGGAAATTGCGTGTTTCTGGAGTTGTTTTAAAAGAAAATATATCCATCTATCCAACGGTACAAAGCATTTTTTCTTACACCAACCAATTTTTTTCCATGCAAGCAAGATAGGTGGGGTTGATTTTTTGACTTTGAGAGCTTTCCTCCCTTCTCGTATATCATCATTGGGGTGGCTTTTTTTTTTTTACCGAAAGTTGAAAAAAAAACCTCAAACGCGTAAAATGACTCTGAACACCCTAGTTTAGGTCCAAATAAAGTTATAACATATTCCCAGGTACCTGTGGTTAGTACGTAATAAAATAATGGCGATTGTTGTGTTGTGTAATTAACAAATAGTCGTACATGTGACACAAAACACAATACCTCGTCGTTTGGATGGTAAACTCACCAGAACATTTTAAGTGTCTTTTACATTGGGCGGGTAACCTTCGCCAGGCGACGGACAGGCTATCCGTCATCTAACAGCGACACAAATATAAGGTCTGTTATATCCGACAGGTGTCGTTGCTCTCGCATACATCATCGGTTATACTGACACAATACAATCGCTGTTTTATGCCCATGCACTTTTGTGTGACTGTTACCTGTTGTGCTTATAAGAGAGTTATAGTTTTAAGTTTTCGTGACTCTCAATACGCACTTTTAAATATTTTTATGGTTTTAATTCTGAGCCGAGATACAATAGTCTTACGATCTACTGTTCCACCCTACATTTTCTTCGTTTCTTGGCTTCATTAGAACTCGGAAGGGAAGAAGACAACGGACGTCAAGACTGATCGCCACCAATATATATATATAGTTGTAATCTACACTTGCTAACTGTGGACAATTTTATATATATAAGTCATCTCAATGTAGAAGCATTTTGTTGTTTTTGACATAAGGTATAGTAAATAAGTAGCGTCTATTTCAGTAATTTCTCGTTCGTTTTGATTACCGATTAATGTTTCAGTTACCCAACAGACGGAAAGACAGAGATGCATTATACGCATTGTGCATACGTCTCTGTAACAATAAAATGAAAAACGGTATGGTCGCTTGACATCGTGTAGCTCGCCATAATCATATCCCGGTCGCTTTTTATACTGCGAAAGTTTCTTAATCCTTGGCTGTTTGGTTAGGATGTTGTAAGTATGTCGGGGCGTAACATGTTAGAGGGGTTCTTGGTGTAGTATGTGTATGTGGGATGTACAATGGCGTATTATGAATGAAAAGTGTCATCTTAGAGTACTCAGACTTCTTTGATGTCGGGAACACACTCTATTTTACCGTTCTTGTCTTGCATTAGACAACACAGCCCCGGTCGTATGTAAGTAGGTAACTATGCAGAGGCCCTCGGGACCAGCACCTCTGCCTTGTTTAACAGATCTATCCACTTGGTTTTCGGACAGGATGTGTCCGATGGTTGTAAGTACGGTTACTTTAAACAACAATTTACCTACGAAAGTATCACACAAACAGGACCATTATTAAGAAAAAGCATCTAGTACAACAGCGAAAAGGCGAGTTTACGCATTACATGTTAAACAACAAATAGAAGTTCTTACATGTACAAAACAAGCATGACGAGGCCTAATGCTATTACGTTATAAGTATACTACTAGTACGTTATAATTATACTACTAGTACGTTATAAGTATACTACTAGTACGTTATATGTATACTACTACTACGTTATAAGTATAATACTAGCACGTTATATGTATACTACTAGTACGTTATAAGTATACTACTAGTACTTTATAAGTATCCTACTAGTACGTTATATGGATACTACTAGTACGTTAGATGTATACTACTAGTACTTTATATGTATACTACTAGTTCGTTATAAGTCTGCTACCAGTACGTTATAAGTATACCACTAGTACGTTATAAGTACCTTACTAGTACGTTATATGGATACTACTATTACGTTATAAGTATACTGCTAGTACGTTATAAGTACCTTACTAGTACGTTATATGTATACTATTAGTACGTTATATGTATCCTACTAGTACGTTATATGTATCCTACTAGTACGTTATATGGATACTACTATTACGTTATATGTATACTCCTAGTACGTTATAAGTATTCTACTAGTAGTATACGTACTGGTAGTATACTTATAACGTAGTAGTAGTATACATATAACTTACTAGTAATATACTTATAACGTACTGGTAGTATACTTATAACGTAATAGTAGTATACATATAACTTACTAGTAGTATTCTTATAACGTACTAGTACTATACTTATAACGTACTAGGAGTATACATATAACGTACTGGTAGTATACTTATAACGTACTAATAGTATACATATAACGTGCTAGTAGTATACTTATAATGTAATAGTAATATACTTATAACGTACTAGCAGTATACTTATAACGTACTGGTAGTATACTTATAACGTTCTAGTAGTATACTTATAACGTTCTAGTAGTATACTTATAGCGTACTAGTAGTATACTGCCAGTACGTTATAAGTATACTACTAGTACGTTTTATGTATACTACTAGTACGTTATATGTATACTGCCAGTACGTTATAAGTATACTACTAGTACGTATACTACTAGTACGTTATAAGTATACTACTAGTACGTTATAAGTATACTACTAGTACGTTATAAGTATACTACTAGTACGTTATAAGTATACTACTAGTACGTTATAAGTATACTACTAGTACGTTATAAGTATACTACTAGTACGTTATAAGTATACTACTAGTACGTTATAAGTATACTACTAGTACGTTATAAGTATACTACTAGTACGTTATAAGTATACTACTAGTACGTTATAAGTATACTACTAGTACGTTATAAGTATACTACTAGTACGTTATAAGTATACTACTAGTACGTTATAAGTATACTACTAGTACGTTATAAGTATACTACTAGTACGTTATAAGTATACTACTAGTACGTTATAAGTATACTACTAGTACGTTATAAGTATACTACTAGTACGTTATAAGTATACTACTAGTACGTTATAAGTATACTACTAGTACGTTATAAGTATACTACTAGTACGTTATAAGTATACTACTAGTACGTTATAAGTATACTACTAGTACGTTATAAGTATACTACTAGTACGTTATAAGTATACTACTAGTACGTTATAAGTATACTACTAGTACGTTATAAGTATACTACTAGTACGTTATAAGTATACTACTAGTACGTTATAAGTATACTACTAGTACGTTATAAGTATACTACTAGTACGTTATAAGTATACTACTAGTACGTTATAAGTATACTACTAGTACGTTATAAGTATACTACTAGTACGTTATAAGTATACTACTAGTACGTTATAAGTATACTACTAGTACGTTATAAGTATACTACTAGTACGTTATAAGTATACTACTAGTACGTTATAAGTATACTACTAGTACGTTATAAGTATACTACTAGTACGTTATAAGTATACTACTAGTACGTTATAAGTATACTACTAGTACGTTATAAGTATACTACTAGTACGTTATAAGTATACTACTAGTACGTTATAAGTATACTACTAGTACGTTATAAGTATACTACTAGTACGTTATAAGTATACTACTAGTACGTTATAAGTATACTACTAGTACGTTATAAGTATACTACTAGTACGTTATAAGTATACTACTAGTACGTTATAAGTATACTACTAGTACGTTATAAGTATACTACTAGTACGTTATAAGTATACTACTAGTACGTTATAAGTATACTACTAGTACGTTATAAGTATACTACTAGTACGTTATAAGTATACTACTAGTACGTTATAAGTATACTACTAGTACGTTATAAGTATACTACTAGTACGTTATAAGTATACTACTAGTACGTTATAAGTATACTACTAGTACGTTATAAGTATACTACTAGTACGTTATAAGTATACTACTAGTACGTTATAAGTATACTACTAGTACGTTATAAGTATACTACTAGTACGTTATAAGTATACTACTAGTACGTTATAAGTATACTACTAGTACGTTATAAGTATACTACTAGTACGTTATAAGTATACTACTAGTACGTTATAAGTATACTACTAGTACGTTATAAGTATACTACTAGTACGTTATAAGTATACTACTAGTACGTTATAAGTATACTACTAGTACGTTATAAGTATACTACTAGTACGTTATAAGTATACTACTAGTACGTTATAAGTATACTACTAGTACGTTATAAGTATACTACTAGTACGTTATAAGTATACTACTAGTACGTTATAAGTATACTACTAGTACGTTATAAGTATACTACTAGTACGTTATAAGTATACTACTAGTACGTTATAAGTATACTACTAGTACGTTATAAGTATACTACTAGTACGTTATAAGTATACTACTAGTACGTTATAAGTATACTACTAGTACGTTATAAGTATACTACTAGTACGTTATAAGTATACTACTAGTACGTTATAAGTATACTACTAGTACGTTATAAGTATACTACTAGTACGTTATAAGTATACTACTAGTACGTTATAAGTATACTACTAGTACGTTATAAGTATACTACTAGTACGTTATAAGTATACTACTAGTACGTTATAAGTATACTACTAGTACGTTATAAGTATACTACTAGTACGTTATAAGTATACTACTAGTACGTTATAAGTATACTACTAGTACGTTATAAGTATACTACTAGTACGTTATAAGTATACTACTAGTACGTTATAAGTATACTACTAGTACGTTATAAGTATACTACTAGTACGTTATAAGTATACTACTAGTACGTTATAAGTATACTACTAGTACGTTATAAGTATACTACTAGTACGTTATAAGTATACTACTAGTACGTTATAAGTATACTACTAGTACGTTATAAGTATACTACTAGTACGTTATAAGTATACTACTAGTACGTTATAAGTATACTACTAGTACGTTATAAGTATACTACTAGTACGTTATAAGTATACTACTAGTACGTTATAAGTATACTACTAGTACGTTATAAGTATACTACTAGTACACACATGATATATAGCACGAGGGTAACCCTCAGGCATCATTCAAGTCAATCACCAGCTCTGTAGGGTTAATTAAGACAAAGTTGCTCTGTGTAGGTCCCTAGTCAAGAGATGTTACAGGAATATCGCGATCAGCTTTGGAAATAATCGAGTTACATATATATTGTGAGTTCTAGGACCTGTTAATACATTATCAAAAAAAAATGGAAAAAATGTCGCTCATTGTAAGACAATTTTTTAACTTCTCTTTTAATCACTGATCAATTCTCACTACAAAAACGTCCAAGTCACGGACCCAGACATTACGGCAGATTAATCCACTCGTGCATATTAGTGTCTTTATAGATACAGTTTTTGCTTACCTTGTATATCAATATAGTGAGGTTTGACAAGTGAGTGCTTGTTATAAACGTCGTGTCCTGCTATAACATGTTTAACTTGCCCTGTGCTAACGATAAAAAGTTGATTGTGTTGTGTCGGGAAGATACGTACAATGACGATACATACTGATGTTAGCTCAGACTCGCACTTCATGCCCGCCACAAGTTGGACCCAATGGAAACGGCGCCGCTATTTAGTAGCCGTGATGCGTCGTAAAGGACACTCGCAAATCGATGTCCAGTGGTCCCTGGATCTAAAAAATCTTAGGCTGAAGTTTAAAACGTAAAACCTACCAATGTCAAACAGTTTCACATACAACCACGTGTACATAGAAATATTTCTTCAGCTTGGTAAAAATGATTTGTGGTTTGAACACAGTTTAGATTAAGGTAAAGTGGGGACGAAATGACATAAACATTCACCTATGCATGTTGAGATCGCTACATGAATAAAGAACCACCTATAATTTTAAATATGTATCTAACGAAATTACATGCATTGTAGATAATTTAACTTGTTTAAATGTCAATTACGATTTGCAGTTTTTGGGTATTTATAAAATGTAACATGATGTTTGAGGGTCACTAATTACGATTTGCAGTATTTGGGTATATAGAAAATGTAACATGATGTTTGCGGGTCACTAATTACGATTTGCAGTATTCTGGTATTTATAAAATGTAACATGATGTCTGAGTGTCACTAATTATGATTTGCAGTATTTGGGACGAGGAAATTCTACTGTGATTATGCAATCGGAAGCGGCAACTCGACGGTAAAACTCTCTGTGATACCGGGCTCCAGGTTCCGGACCAGTGAGTGTTCTGAATGTCACTGCACCAGAAACGGACTCCAGTGCTGCGGGTGAGATATTCTCTGTGTGCAAAGTGGAAATCTGTGTAGGATGTGAGGTAATGTCTGTGTGTGCACAGTGGAAATCTGTGCAGGATGTGAGGTAATGTCTCTGTGTGCACAGTGGAAATCTGTGTAGCACGTGAGGTAATGTCTGTGTGTGCACAGTGGAAATCTGTGTAGGATGTGAGGTAATATCTCTGTGTGCACAGTGGAAATCTGTGTAGGATGTGAGGTAATGTCTCTGTGTGCAAAGTGGAAATCTGTGTAGGACGTGAGGTAATGTCTCTGTGTGCACAGTGGAAATCTGTGTAGGATGTTAGGTAATGTCTCTGTGTGCACAGTGAAAATCTGTGTAGGATGTGAGGTAATGTCTGTGTGTGCACAGTGGAAATCTGTGTAGCACGTGAGGTAATGTCTCTGTGTGCACAGTGGAAATCTGTGTAGCACGTGAGGAAATGTCTGTGTGTGCACAGTGGAAATCTGTGTAGCACGTGAGGTAATGTCTCTGTGTGCACAGTGGAAATCTGTGTAGGATGTTAGGTAATGTCTCTGTGTGCACAGTGGAAATATGTGTAGCACGTGAGGTAATGTCTGTGTGTGCACAGTGGAAATCTTTGGAGGATGTGAGGTAATAGCTGTGTGTGTTTGAGGAAATACTCTGTGTGTGCGGTAAGGTTTTATTCTTTCTCATTTCCATACCAATAAAAAGGTAAAAAAAAAAGGCTTCCGGTTAAAACCAAACCAATTTTCAGTGTTAACAGTTAAATTGTGAAATCAGTGTGTGTGTTGTGTATTATGGGATGCGCTAGGTGGCACCACCAGTAGAAATGCCGTATTCCATTGGCCAGTGGGACGAATTAAATTAGATTTGAGGTTGGATTTGTTAAAGCTGCTTGAGATCGTTTTGGGATCCATTTTGTCTTTTCCTCACAAAGAATTGGTTGACAAAGAGGTTACTACAAAATGAAAGCTCGGGTTAAGATACGAAACGAACCGCCCTGTGATCACGTGATACCTACACGGATGTTTACTCCTCTCCTAATACTAGAAATATCATATGTCGCGATATCTTATGCTTTACAACTCTTATGACGATAACATGATCTCTAGATGACAAGAATAACACTCGCTATAGAAAATAACACTCCATCCACATGCTATAGAAAATAACACTCAATCCACATGCTATAGAAAATAACACTCAATCCACATGCTATAGAAAATAACCAATCCAAATGCTATAGAATAACGTAACATACACATTTGGGAGTTATCTCCCGTTCATTGATCGAAATGGTCTTCACTGATTTACAAATCGTAAAACTTCCGCGAGTATTCTTTTTGGTGCAGTTATACATTTCTTTGATATCCATTCGTTTAATCAGATGTTTAAAACAATGTCATAGGTATTTAAACTTATAAGCTACATATATAAAAACGCTGTCGTTTATCGTTTTTGATATTTGTGTTGTTCGCAGCTGTATTTAGGACACCCACGTAGAAAGCGGCTAGCTCCGACCACCCTTTGTGTAGACTAAATGATGTGTACAAATGTTTACATATGTCCAGTGAGAATGTCCAGACTTCTCTTGACATCTGACACTACTCATCACCTGTGTACGCTAACATTTAAGCCATATTACCTTCATCGTGTATATCTATCTGTAAGGTAGATACAACGCTCCCAATGAAGAATGACAAACGATATCATGCCAACAGGTGTAAACCAGTCGACGGACACTCCCTATTTACCTCTGAAACATGTATAGGGGCAGGTTAAGCTAATTGTGTTTAAACACAGTACCTGCTTAAACAAGCTAGCACAACCTTTTATATATTAGCATAGGTCAAGTAATCACACAACAGATACATTATATTGTCAAAACAATAGTTATACAGGTGGGGTCAGAGAGTCAGCTAATGGAATAGTCCCTACCTGCCTTCAGATTCTGTAGTTGGAATGCTAGAATAATTAATTCAACTGAGTATAAACAAATATATAGCAATACATACAGCTGTGATATGATTGGGAAAAGTTATTAAAAGCACACATAAAGTTCATGTGTGTAGTAAGGACCGCAGCACGTGCTTGATGACTAAAAGATGAATCCCTAAGTCGTGACCTATTGGGACAAAGAATATCTGACATTATGTATTCGTCCACGGTGCGCCTTCAACCGTCCATTAAAATTTCACTTGAATTTGTTAAAATATTCAAACAACTGTAAATCGAACGTAATGATTTTTGTCCCAAATTGATTATTTACATGTGAAAATAAATCTGCCATTTACTTTTTTCCTGGAATGAGTCCGAAGCATATAAATAAGATCCCAGCTAGAGTTTTCCTACCGTTAGCCATACTTTTGACGGAGTAGTCCTTAATAGGTTAATAACAGTAAACATATACTACATTTGTTTATATAATGATAACGAGTAGTAAAGCTTATCATGTTGATATGTACAAGGTTACAGACGTAAACAGTATCTCTTGTTGATGTCAACAACACCATATCTCAGTGTCAGGTGACCACTGTCTCCTTGGCCCCTTGTTCACCGTTCCTTCATGGTGGATGCTAATCTGATAGGGGTTGCAGTTAAACTTCTCAAACTATCTGTACAGTGGCAGTAGATGTTTCTGGGGGGCTCTGGTGTATCTGATATATCTAAACATATGCTGTACCATGATCGCATTTCATGAATAAACCCTGTCCTAAAATATGGATGAATGAGGTCTACGACTTGGGTTACTATTGATCTGATCTTGATAACATATGATGGAGAAGAAGTTCATTCTTGATCAAGTGGGAGGCATGTGGCCGTACTCATGAAAGTGTGCTCAAGCCTAATTTCTTGTTCCCGTTATAAATTGATTAAAATATCTTATTTTGTCATTGATTTGAAAAAAGACAAAAAAAATTGTCATTGATTTGAAAAAACTTGATAGGCTGCCTTGTCTCCCATTCTCTACTGACTTTTAACTGAACCGACGTCTTCAATCTTACATAACCCCTTTTTACTGAAACACCGCGAGGAACTTCATAAACATTTGAAATATGCTTTATTTTCCATTTTTTTTAATTTAACTGCCATTTTCCAAGAATTGTAAAGATTTAAATTCACACCCCTATTTCTAAACCAGTCGATCTTTATTCTCTCATAGCAGCAACATTTGTCAATGTATTAAAATGAGCACTGTGAAATTTCTAAAAGAAGGCGCCAAACGAGGGACTCAGTTCGTTCCTATAGGAATTCCTACGGTCTGCTGAAAAATCTTGCCACAAAAACTCAAAAAATATACCGTCTTCCCAGAACTCACGACAAGGATACTCAATAGTATACTGTGTGAACACAGAATTGTTTGAAGTGATCTTTATATATGAGAAATTTCATAAGAAATCATATTACAGTGTACTACAAAATGTATTGTTATAACTTCGTTTTTTATGTTTCTGATTAATATTTGTTTTGAAAACCATACTCAGTCATATGCCAATGGATTCTTGCATATAAAATATAGCCGAGACGTACATTACAACCAGTACTGGTATGTTTACAAATAGGCTAGTAACATATTAATTTAAACAGCGCCTTTTGTTTGTCTGTGTGTGTTGGGGGTGGAAAGATTGCTATAGCATTTAATTTTTGTTTGATCATCATGATTATACAAAACAAAGTTCTTTCCCCGAACTTGCACGGACTAGGTAGTAAGCACTGTTCCAATAGGTCTATACATGAATTGGCTTGATTAATCCTTTTTTCACCAATTGGAGCAATCTTTGCTATTTTCAGTTTGTCTGAGAAAGAACATTCAGGCATCATACAATTTGATGACTCGTTATTAGTTCGGCCATCCTTTATCATTATCAAGTCTGGTAGATTTCTTTAAACTCCTCGATAGGCTGTCCTGTCTTCCATTATCTATTGACTTTTAACTGAACCGACGTCTTCAATCTTACATAACCACTTTATACTGAAACACCGCGAGGAACTTCGTAAACTGGACATACAGAAGCTTGGCAATAATAGAAGCTACATTTACAACGAATTGTTCAAATTGTTTCATATTTAACAAGCCACTGTTATGTCATCTACCTTGCACTTTAAGAGTAAAATACGTATAGTTTGCTCTTCGTTAGATAGGAATGGGTGCATAGTTGACCATAAGTACTTGCGCTCTGCTCCGTCATTACACCTTTCTGTAAACTACTACTACATAAATTTCTCTGGAGTTTTATCATGCAGTTTTAGGTTGAGCTATTTTTGTCCCGGTCTTACATCAGTTTTACTTTGTAGGTATATTTTCTCCTTTATTTATTGCTTTCCTAGGGGTCCCCCATTCATGAGAGGCGCCTTAGACTATATAAGTAAATCAGCATATGATAAGTCGACCACGGGGTTACGTGACGGCTGAGACAGACGGCCACTGTTTGACTTGTGTAAAAAAAAACGAGCGTTAATAGTAACTGACATACGTAAACAATAATTTGTTAAAACCTGACAGGTGATCCCGGGCACGCCAACTACTAGTTGAAGGTTTCAAGAATCAGTCTCCTATAGTCAAAGGACTCAAACCTATAACCCGACAGACAGGGGTCCTGGTCACTGACCATCCGGGCACTTGTGGTGCGGATACCACGCGACATGGAGTGACCTTCACACTTAATTAATGATTACTTACATAGCACGTAAATGTAATGTCGTTGTAGACACAATCTACATACAAGTCAATGCTACAGAGTGTAGGTTGTAAACATTGAAGCTACCCAAGTCATCAGCTTTCTCGTCTAACGGACATTGCTATTGAATTTCATTACATTAGTAGTATTAAGTAATATGCTCAAAATAACGCGTTTAATACAGAGCTAATACCGATATACTTCCGACTATTCAGACAGTTATACACACCTATATACATAAACATTGTAGTAACTAGTCATGCTTCAAATACAGTTCCGTATGTTCATAATGCATGTCTTACCCTACATATAAAGGTGTCCCGTAAGAAGAAGGTTGTCCGTCCTAAACAAATGTATGAATGTATCTTAGCGTGATTATATATGAATGTAACCGAACGAAATGCATAGGTTAGGATTGGGTTTTTTGACATATATACAGGACTGTGCCCAGATAAAACATGAATAGGGTAAACGAATTGATAACAAATATTGCACCCAGGCTAATAATGACCGTACTTCTTTACAGGTATGGCGTTCGTTCGTCGAAGCTCGTGGTACCTAACGAGTGCCGAGTACTCCCTGATGGCTGTGAGCCGCGACTAGTCATGAAGTCGGACAACAAATCGGAGTGTAAATCCACGCGGCCGCCAATGAAACCAAGACTTGAACAGACAATAAGCCCACGTGTACAGACGGGAAGGGCAAGGCAACAGGCGACAGACACTGTCGACAATAAATGGCAGGCAATGTCAACTGTGACTCGCCAAGTCCAAGGAAATCAAGCCACAGGAAACCAAGACCAAGGACAGCAAGTCAAAAGAATTCAGACCCAAGGAAACCGACTACCGGGAAACCAGGCATCTAGAAACCGAGCACTAGGAAACCAAGCCCCTAGAAACCAAGGTTTAGGAAACCAGGCACCAGGAAATCGAGCCCCAGGAAAGCAAGCCCCAGGAAACCGAGTCCCAGGAAACCGGGTCCCAGGAAACCGAGTCCCAGGAATCAAAGCCGCAGGAAACCAAGCCCCTCGAAACCAAGGTTTAGGAAACCAGGCACCAGGAAATCGAGCCCCAGGAAAGCAAGCCCCAGGAAACCGAGTCCCAGGAAACCAGGCACCTGGAAATCGAGCCCCAGGAATCAAAGCCCCAGGAAACCAAGGCCTGATTCAGCAAAAAACATCGTCGGTCCAGGGGACAGCGCCGTCTCCTCGCCCGGCTCAACTTGCTGCCACTCCAGCACCGGTCAAACCGACACCTCCAACCCAGCAGAGACGACGACCAGCCTCAAGAGCTAGACCACAAAACAGATCATGGCGAGCCAATCCATTCCATCAAACAGGTCCGGTCACGGAGGAAAGCATGCAGTTTATACAAAATATGATGCTTTTCCGCGCTTTATCCGGTGGAAACCCTGGCCCGCTCCAAAGCATGATGTTAATGAATATGTTTGAAATGTAATTATTGTTAACCATTGATCACCGTAAAACGATATCTCATTCCGTCTGTTGTTAGCAGAGTACACGTCAATAGGTTTATATAACCACTTCTTGTCATCTGACGTTTATTGTACAGTGTACACTGTACGTATACCTATCTCAGGGTTTCGAGTTCCTTAGTTTATGACGTAATGCCACGACATAGCAGCAATACATGGTAACAAGGTAACACAGTGTTGTGACGTGGCTTTGTTCATACAGGTACAGATGGCATAGGTGTACGTACATACAGGTACAGATGGCATAGGTGTACGTACATACAGGTACAGATGGCATAGGTGTACGTATATTCAGGTAAATATGTAATGGGTGTACGTACAAACAGGTAAATATGTAATGGGTTTACGTTCATTCAGGTAAATATTAATGGGTGTACGCACATTCAGGTATAAACGTAATGGATGTACGTACATTCACGTAAATATTAATGGGTGTACGTACATTCAGGTAGATATGTAATGGATGTACGTACATTCAGATAAACATGTAATGGGTGTATGTACATACAGGTAAATATGTAATGGGTGTACGTAAATTCAAATATATATGCAATTGGTGTACGTACGTACAGGTATACACGCAACGGATGTACGTAAGTTCAGATAAATATGTAATGGGTGTACGCAAATTCAGGTAAATATGTAATGGATGTACGTTAACTCAGGTAAATATGTAATGGATGTACGTACATTCAAATATATATGTAATGGGTGTACGTACATTCAGGTAAATATGTAATGGGTGTACGTACATTCAGGTAAATATGTAATGGGTGCACGTACATTCAGGTTTATATATGTAATGGGTGTACGTACATTCAGGTAAATATGTAATGGGTGTACTTACGTACAGATAAATATGTAATGGATGTACGTACATTCAAATATATATGTAAAGGGTGTACGTACATTCAGGTAAATATTTAATGGGTGTACGTACATTCAGGTAAATATGCAATGGATGTACGTACATTCAGGTAAATATGTAATTGGTGTACGTACATTCAGGTAAATATGTAATGGGTGTACGTACATTCAGGTAAATATTTAATGGGTATACGTACATTCAGGTAAATATTTAATGGGTATACGTACATAGAGGGATATGTGTAATGTGTGTGTACATAGGGGTATGTATGTTACAGCACAGAAACCATGTACCGGAATCAGTTACATTCCGGTATAAATACCGGTGTAGAATCATTATCAATATTACTCTCGTCATTACTTTTGTCATCAGATGACAATGTCTCCCACATTTTACTGATTTATATCACGTTTTTCTTTTTCAAGATTTCTTTGTCACCCCTAGAGTATGATTTCTCTGTCACCCCTATGGTATAGATTCTCTGTCACCTCCTAGGGTATGAATTATCTGTCACCCCTAGGGTATGAATTTTCTGTCACACCTAGGGTATGATTTCTCTGTCACCCCTAGGGTATGAGTTATCTGTTACCAGCTAAGGTATGATGTCTCTGTCTCCCCTAGGGTATGAGTTATCTGTCACTCCTAGGGTATGATTTCTCTGTCACTCCTAAGGAATGAGTTCTCTGTCACCCCTAGGGTATGGTTTCTCTGTCACTCCTAGGGTTTGGTTTCTCTGTCATCCCTAGGGAATAAGTTATCTGTCACCAGCTAAGGTCTGATGTCTCTGTCACCCCTAGGGTATGAGTTATCTGTTACCAGCTAAGGTATGATGTCTCTGTCTCCCCTAGGGTATGAGTTATCTGTCACCAGCTTAGGTATGATTTCTCTGTCACCCCTAGAGTATTAGTTCTCTGTCACCAGCTAAGGTATGAGTTCTCTGTCACCCCTAGCCTATGATTTATCTGTCACTTCTAGGGTATGATTTCTCTATCACCCCTAGGCCATGCATTCTCTGTCACCCCTAGGGTATGAATTATCTGTCACCCCTAGGGTATGAATCTTCTGTCACACCTAGGGTATGATTTCTCTGTCACCCGTAGGGAATGATTTCTCTGTCACCTCTAGGGTATGAATTATCTGTCACTCCTAAGGTATGATTTCTCTATCACCCCTAGGGCATGCATTCTCTGTCCCCCCTAGGGTATGAATTCTCTGTCAACCCTAGGGTATGATTTCTCTGTCACTCCTAGGGTATGAGTTATCTGTCACCAACTAAGGTATGATGTATCTGTCACCCCTAGGGTATGAGTTATCTGTCACTCCTAGGGTATGATTTCTCTATCACCCCTAGGGCATGCATTCTCTGTCACCAGTTAAGGTATGCTGTTTCTGTCACCCCTAGGGTATGAGTTCTCTATCACCCCTAGGGTATGGTTTCTCTGTCACCTGCTAAGGTATGATGTCTCTGTCACTCCTAGGGTATGATTTCTCTGTCACCTCTAAGGTATGATGTCTCTGTCACCCACTTGGGTATGATTTCACTGTCACCCCTAGGGTATGATTTCTCTGTCACCAGCTAAGGTGTGAAGTCTCTGTCACCCCTAGGGTATGATTTATCTGTCACCAGCTAAGGAATGATGTCTCTGTCACTCCTAGGGTATGAGTTATCTGTCACCAACTAAGGTATGATGTATCTGTCACCCCTAGGGGATGAGTTATCTGTCACCAGCTAAGGAATGATGTCTCTGTCACTCCTAGGGTATGATTTCTCTGTCACCAGCTAAGGAGTGATGTCTCTGTCACCCCTAGGGTATGATTTATCTGTCCCTCCTAGGGTATGATTTCTCTATCACCCCTAGGCCATGCATTCTCTGTCACCCCTAGGGTATGATTTATCTGTCACTCCTAGGGTATGATTTCTCTGTCACTCCTAGGGTATGATCTCTCTGTCACCTGCTAAGGTATGATGTCTCTGTCACTCCTAGGGTATGAGTTATCTGTCACCAGCTAAGGTATGATGTCTCTGTCACTCCTCGGGTATGATTTCTCTGTCACCCCTAGGGTATGAGTTATCTGTCACCAGCTAAGGTATGATGTCTCTGTCACCCCTAGGGTATGAGTTATCTGTCACCAGCTAAGGTATGATGTCTCTGTCACTCCTAGGGTATGAGTTCTCTGTCACCCCTAGGGTATGAGTTATCTGTCACCAGCTAAGGTATGATGTATCTGTCACCCCTAGGGTATGAGTTATCTGTCACCAGCTAAGGTATGATGTCTCTGTCACTCCTAGGGTATGATTTCTCTGTCACCCCTAGGGTATGAGTTATCTGTCACCAGCTAAGGTATGATGTCTCTGTCACCCCTAGGGTATGAGTTATCTGTCACCAGCTAAGGTATGATGTCTCTGTCACTCCTAGGGTATGATTTCTCTGTCACCCCTAGGGTATGAGTTATCTGTCACCAGCTAAGGTATGATGTCTCTGTCACCCCTAGGGTATGAGTTATCTGTCACCAGCTAAGGTATGATGTCTCTGTCACTCCTAGGGTATGATTTCTCTGTCACCCCATAGGGTATGATTTCTCTGTCACTCCTAGGGTATGATTTCTCTGTCACCCCTAGGGTATGCGTTATCTGTCACCTCCTAGGGTATGAGTTATCTGTCACCAGCTAAGGTATGATGTCTCTGTCACTCCTAGGGTATGAGTT